GCTCTGCTTCCTCGCTCTCTCAAGAGGATTCATCTGCATCTGGGAGAGCCTGTGTATTGCACTGAAGATAGTACAGGGGGGGACACAGCATCAAAATCTCGGGCTGTTACTCCCGGGCCATGGCCATGGCTTTGGCCCTCTGGGGGGCTTGGGTAAAGTCCCATCCGGTCTGCAGGTCTAAACTCCCCTGAGAACGGACCCCCTGCTTTTCCAGTGACAGAGCCACCCGGGAAGGAGAGAAGATCTCCATGGAACCTCGATCGAAAAGGTCCTTCCTCCTCCTCTGAAGGCTCCGATAGGACAAACGAGCGTGAAAAGAAAAGGGACCCGCCTGAGACGATGGGGTGATTGACGGCGGTGGTCGGACATCGTCGGCGGGAGGAACGTCGTGGGGCGGCTCTGGTGGAGCGTCGGACCCAGCCTGAGCCTCGAAGCTCTAGACATGCTGGATAAGCTCAGTGAGGTGGAAGATGTTGTTCACCGGATATCCCCAATCCTGCAGACCGCTCGTTCTCGACGAAGTCCCCCAGCCTTTCCCCGAGGTTCCTCGCCAAATGCCTAGGGGAAACTGACTCGCAGTCGTCGTTAAATTCGGCCCCTTCCGCGAGGATGGCACGCCATGCTGGGCAAAGAACTGCCAAGTGCCATTCTCCACCCCGTTCAGGTCAGGCGCTGGGTCGGCGCCGCCTCGAGGTTCGGCCAACCACGTAGCGCTCTCCAACCTCCGTCTCGAAGTAGATTTCGCCCCTCTACCCACTGCTGTGCCACTCCGGGAAATGGCAGGTTGAGCGCTATCGGACCGCCGGGATAGTTGGTCCTGGCATACTGAATCTGCTCGGTCAATGACAGATGCGACGCTTCCTGCCAACCGCTCGGCGCACTCGACGCCGCACCCTGGCTTGCCACAGCCACTGCAGCCGGCGATGCCCCGGCAGCGATGGCCTGAAGGCACTGGGTGGCCTTCCCCTGGTTCACGATGGCCTCGCTCTGGCTCGCCACCTGTCCCTGAACCTGTCCGATCATCGCCAGAATCATCTCCTGGGTCTCTAGCATGCATTCCTGTGCTTTCTTCTGCTCCTCCTCGTCTTGTTCCAGCGAGCGGCGTCCGCGCCTCTTGGGAAGGTCGTCTACCTCCATGTGGTCGTGCTTCTTCATGGGCGGCCCCGGGCGATAGCCTCGAACTATTGGTGGCACAAGCGGTTCCTCCTTGGGCTTCCTCGGCTTCACCTCGCTGGACTCGAGAATCCCTTTTGCCGAGCCGCGGCCCCGACGGGCACCAGGGAGTGCCGCTGGAGGTCTGGCTAGGGCCTGGTGCACCTTGGACTCTCCTTTCATCAGCGGGGTGGACTCGTAGCTCAGCCTCGGCGCACGCTCGCCGCACTTGTGCCGCTTCGCGTGGCCGTTGCCCAGCAGCATCCCGGTTGAATGGGGGCCGGCAGGCCAGCTGAGTCGAGGTGGGGGCTCTCGTCTTTCGGGGCCACTCCTGCGGAGAGAGACGGCCATGGGCACTCATCCGCATCGAATTGATTCCCAGCATCTCCTCGCGCGCCGCCGTGCGACTGACCGCCGCCCCTCATTGGAACTCGGCCTTCGTGATGTCCCCGGGTATTGGCTGGTCGGTCGCTATCCGCATCTGAGTCTCGTCCGCCTCGGACCCCACCAAGTTTTCCTGCTTGGTCCCGGTCGATGCTGTGGCGGGCCTGGTGGCGTGCAAACCTGTTTGATCCGATGGCTACGGAGCAGTCGGGCTGCCTGGGGTCGAAGGTCCTGGCAGGGCGGTTTCCTGGCAGGTCGTCTAAAAAGGACGTGCTCGAGAGTTGCGAATTCTTCTTGGGTATTCGGCTTAGAACTGGACATGCCTGGCGCGTTTCGGCACTGATCAGATTCTCGAGCTCCGTCCGACGCTTTGACGAGATCCCTCCTGTCTTCCCGCCTCCTTGCCTCTCTTTCTCCCTCCTGTTTAAGCCCCTGGCTCCTCGACGCAGTCGCAGCATAAGCGCTGGCCCGCGAAGGTTCTGATGGCGGGTCGGTAGTCGGGGCCGCTGGTTCTCTGCTCTTGTCCTTGTTCGAGTTCCCTCTGGGTCCCTTGGCCTGTCCTTCGCAGCTATCGCTCGACCCCCCTGCGCCGCCGATCGCATCGAGTCGGGCCCTATACTTGGGAGAAAGCGAAACGCTCCGGGCTCCAGGTTGTACTTGGCAGCAACAGCAGGTGGCACCTCGAATTCTTCGGGAGGACCCAAACTGTCGATATTCACAGCCCGGTGCCCGCTGGAGAGCTTCTCGAGAGGGGTCTCGACCCCGAGGTGAGTGAACCGAACTCGGCCCTGCAGCAAATCAATGGCAGCTCCTAACATTTCCTGCGTGCCCACCGGCATCAGCGCCGAGAGCTCCTGTCCTACAAGATCTACCTGCGTCGCTCCCCCGCGGCCACCCAGGCCCAGAGGCGCAAAAATGCCTGATATGACCGGGATGCGCTGCCCGACTCCCCTCGCAAAGGCATTGCTACTCTTCGCTTGCTCAACCAGATAGTCTAACTCACTCAATCTTTTTTTCCAAACGGGCCAGCGACTCCGGGCCGATGAGGCCCTGGGCCGCCGCCGCGTCCACGATGATGCGGCCACCTTCGGTAGTCAGGAAGACTTCCGGCTGGGTCGATCCTGCCCCGGAGGGGCGGCGGAGGGCCTCCTCGCAGCGCCGGGCCACGTCGCTGATCGCGGCCCGAACCAGTCCGGAGCCCTCGGCGGGCGCCTCGTTCAAGAACGAACCCGCTCACGGTCGACTGCTTGTTCTCCGGGTATTCTCTCGACCAATGCCCTTTCTTGCGACACTTTTTGCACCTGGTGGCCTTCGTCAACTGCTCGATGCTGAAGCGATCGCGCCGCGGGCGGGGCTGGCCGCCGCTGCCGCCCCCGCCGCGCTGATCTCCACCTCGGGTCTCCCGGCGGTCTTGTCGAAGGCCTCCTGCCGGGTGGGGCGGAGGGGGGTTGAACTTCCTGTCCACTTTCATCTGTCTCTTCATCATCTTGTTTTCTTTCCACGTCTTCTTCCGCTCCTGTCGGAGCTCCGCTAGATCAAGAGGTGCCCGATCCTCATCGATGTCCGCCGAGTCGATGCATAAGAAGAGCTCCTTCTCCATGTCCGTGTCCACCGAGACCTCCGACTCTGCGTCTCGGTCCTCATAGTAGGTCGGGCTCCCGTCTTCTCCCTCGTCCATGTACGTGCGCGCAGTGCGGCTCGGGCCCGAAAACATCTCCATCTTGGACAGATCGAGCTCCCGGATGGCGCTCTGGAAGTCCTCGTACTTACCAGAGCCGCGGGTGAGCGCTCGTAACATCTGCTTGCCGCTGTCGTCTAGGTTCACCCATTCCTCCATGAAGAGGTGCATCCACTTGTCTGGGAGCGGCAGACCTTGTGCTCGAAACATATCGATCTGATGCTCCATACGTGCGGCATACATGGAGAGCGTCTCTCCGGTCTTACGCTGGTAGCCGAAGAGACACTCCCGCGCCGCACGACGATCCTCATCGTCTACCCTCTTGCCGCTCATCGCGTCTAGCCGCTTCAGGATCGTCTTTGGGCCTGTGTCCGAAAGCAGTACCTCATCGCTGATGTCTTCCATCTTGCGCTGGGGCTCTACTTCCAGCACTTTCAGCAACCGATCTGACCTCTGCGTCGGCGCCACGTCGGTGGATGCCAGCCAGCGGCGCACCTTCCTGCGCCATATGCGAAAGTCTGCCCAACCCATCCAGGGATCTGGATCTGAATAGTCGGGCTTGGACCATGACTTCTCCTGCCAGGACCAGCCTGCGTTCGGCCTTCTGCGTCTCGTCATCGTGGCTCTTGCCGTCCGTGCTGTGCCACCAGGACACGCGTGTATTTCCCCACGAGGTACTGCGCTCCCACTGTCCTGCTGGAACCTGCACGGTCGACTCGTGCCGGCCGCCCCAAGGATCTTGCAACGTCCATGGGTCGTCGCGAGCATGCCGGCCCGCACCCTCTGCTCCGGGCGTTGCCGCCGTCGCCGAACTCTCGGCTCCAGGCGGGCGCCTGCTCGCTTCTGCTAACTCTTGCAGCTGGGCCTTCAGCTCCTGGAACTGGCGACTGCTGCTCTCCGCAATCACTTTCGTGATCGTAGTCAACTGCTTCTCCGAAAGCCACTGGAACCGTCTCCGCCGGACTGACTGGCGGACATATCCCCTGTTTCCGATCTTGCACCGGCCGGCCTCCAAACACCGTTGTTTCGTCGATGGCTGCTTTGGCTGCTGTGCGAAGACATGCGGCCGCGCCAGCAGCTGAGCCCGTGGAAGACCACAGGCTCCGCTACCACTGACACGCCAACATCGGCAGCAACACCAAGCAACAGTGTTTTGCAAAGGCGATTGCAAGACAGAACATGCAGAGGGTGCCCCAAAGCCAACATGATTACGGATATCATGTACATAACAACTAGTTTAAGCTCATACCTGTGAATTCCACAGCACGATTGCATGATGCCAGTAACTTGTGCACCTGTCGCACATCGCTGTATTCGCGAAGCGACGTGTTGACTCT